ACTAAATTTTGAACTAAACAAGTCTAGACAAAAATTTCATCACAGCTTGAAGGAGCATCACAAAATTAGTAATATTCCAAAGTTTCGTCGCGAAATGTTGTAAAATGCGGATAATATAGCCTTGCGAAGTTTGCAATTTTCAGTCATTTTAGATTACAAACGAGAAATTGATACCCAAACACCCGATTTGGGTATCAATTTCCGTTTGTAATTTTTAATGATCCAAATTTCGCAGGGCTATATTATCCGCATTTTACAACGTTTCGCAACGAAACTTTGGAATATTACTAATTTTGTGATGCTTTTTCAAGCTGTGATGAAATTTTTGTCTAGATCAAAATTTTAGTTATAAGGTTAAAGGTCCAATTCTGATTGTGAATTTTATACATTTCTTAGACTTAACCAGGAGCGTTTGTGAAAAATACAACTATAGTTCCTCTGGCAGGAATAGAACCTGTGGCCCTGCGATTCCTGGGCAGCGGTCTAACCAACAGACCTTTCCCCTTATGAGTGAAATTTTGATCTAGACAAGTCTGGACAAAAATTTCATCAAGGCTTGAAAGAGCATCACAAAATTCGTAGTAATCCGAAGTTTCGTTGCGAAATGTTGTAAAATGCGGATAATATAGCCTTGCGAAGTTTGCCGTTTTTCAGTCATTTTGCATTACAAACGGGAAATTGATATTCAGTTTGATCATCTTTGATTATCAATTTCCCATTTGTAATGCAAAATGACTGAAAAACGGCAAACTTCGCAAGGCTATATTATCCGCATTTTACAACATTTCGCAACGAAACTTCGGAATATTACTAATTTTGTGATGGCCTTTCAAGCCGTGATGAAATTTTTGTCTAGAATCAAATTTTCACTCAAAAGGGGAAAGGTCTATTGAGCTACAGCGTCGGTTACACTGAGCTAGCTTAAATAATTCACACAGCACCTATGTCCGCAATTTTTATTTTTTTAGCTCTTTGTCAAAGCGGGTCCAATTTATTTTCTCGTGGTTGGTTTGGTCACGTGCATTCTCGCTCTGATGATGTACTTTGCTCTGCAGTGGTCATCTAATGTTGCGCCAGACGTCTCAGGTATTGAATTTGGAAAAAAGCGACGAGCAAAGTCTTCTATTTATATTGGATAGCCCTATCGGTTCTAAATTACTATTCCCAGAGATTCATTCCTTGAACGTTCAGTGTTAGTTCAGGAAATAAAGTATTGATGAAACACTCTGGATCTCTAGGAAAGAACAGTTTAGAACTGATAGAGCTATCCAGTATAAATAAAGTTAGTTTAGTTTAGGTTTCCTCCTGTAGTAACACTGGATCAGTAAGAGATGAACCTTACTGGACCTCTAGGAAGAACAGTTTAGAACTGATAGAGCTATCCAGTATAAATTAAGTTAGTTCAATTTAGGTTTCCTTCTGTTAGAAAGTCTGGATCAATAAGAGAGGATCCTTACTGAACCTCTGGGAAGAACAGTGTAGAACTATAATTAAAGTTATTTTACAGTAGTTCAGGTTTCCTCCTGTAGTATGACTGGATCAATAAGAGATGACTCTTACTAGATCTCTACTAAAAGAACAGTGTAGAACTGATAGAGCTATCCAGTATAAATAAAGTTAGTTTAGTTTAGGTTTCCTCCTGTAGTAGGCCTAACACTGGATCAATAAGAGATGATCCTTACTGAACCTCTAGGACTAATAGAGCTCATCTATTCTTTTATTCAGCAACCTCGCTGCTACGAAACATCTACAACACGCTTTGTCAGTGCAAGAATTTCAGACGCAGATCAAGCGATGAGAAATATGAATACACTCAACTCCTGCCTACGCTTGTGGAAATGTCTAGTACTTCCACGTCAATGGAGTCGACGGAGCAGGGGACCGAGGATAGTACGAGCACCTTGGTAGCAAAATCTAACAGCCTCACATCTGTTGCCTCCATCGACGAGTAACAATGTTAAACAGAAATATACTCTGTATATATACTGTAAACAGAAATCTGCTGCGATTACGTTTTCGCCTCTGCTTGTTTGTTGGTTTGTCATATTTCAGAAGGGAAATCCGGAAACGTCAGTAATGATGGCAGTAATGTTTCCGAAGACAAATCAAATATAATATACTTGAATACAAAATTGATGAAGGATATTTAAACTCTGTCATACTTTTCGCGATGTGTATAAAAAACCATATGCATAATCCACGCATAGGCTATGCATGAATATTGACTTTCCTCCAGAGAGAGTATATCAGATCGTATTAGACATAATTTTGCCTGAGCGTGGAAGATTTATTTATGTGTCAAGATAAAGTTTGGAAATAATCATCCATATGACGTATATTAAAATCTATTATTCCGCAGGCGGACTTCAGGCCTTAAAATATCTTTTCCAGGGCCGTCTGACAAAATTAAATGTCCGGTGACGTTGAGTTTGGTTTAGACTCCGGTGACCTTCAGTTCAGTTTAGACTCGGAAATAAGTCTGAATGACACAAATGAATAAACGGTAAATGTTGTAAAGATATTGAATACTTTGTTTCTTTCATACTTATTTCCAAGCCAAAATTAACTTGCTTGCCAGCACAACAGTATTGAAAAAGACTTCGACAACTTAAGCCCGTTTTCCTCTTCACCATTTCGCTCGCCGCCCCACGCTCGACTACGCTAAAACAACATTTCCAGTTCACCTAATCACCTTTTATACAATAGTACTCTGATTTTCCATTTAACATACAAGCCTCTAGTCCTGGGCTAGGGTACATTTTGATTTACGTCGGACAAAGCCGATAATTTGGTCGGACACCAATACACTCGGGTCGGACAAACAATAAACCTCAGTTTCACTTAGGTCGGACAGAATGTCCGGTGGTTTCCTCTCTACGTCGGACAATTTCACGAACGGGTCGGACAATGTCCGTGATCGACCGATATTTTAAGGCCTGACTTGTGTTTGATTTCTGGTACGAGTTATTTTTTGGTCATTCTACTGATGAAGAAGAAATGTAATATATCTTTATATTAAAAAAACCTCAGCTTGATCAACTTTTTCACTGTCAAAGTTTCCAGATATGATGTCATTTGATGAAATCAATTTTCCTTCGTTGTTTGTTCCAAAAATTCATCTCATGACATCGTGTCCGGAAACGTATGTCAGTGAAAAAGATGATATTTTTAAATATAAACATACATTACGTTTCTTCTTATAGAAAGACCCAAATAGTAGTACATTAGTACATGCTTCATTTATAGATGGAAAAACAATATTTACATTCTTCTCTAAGTCCTCATAAAGTACTATATAGGCTAACTTTAAAATACTCATTAATAATTCATGAAGAAAGTCCAAAAGAAATTAATGTTTAATCAATGTTTGTAAATCGGATATAAAGATTTGTCCTGATTTACATAAACTTCAGCTTTGATTCACGGCTTAGACAATGTTTATTTTTAAAATTACTTCGCCAATGAACTCATATAAGATGGGTCGTTTTTTAAGTATACGTTAAAACATTCGCGTCCGATCTTTATCTGATATACAAACTCTCGCCTTCGGCTCGAGTTTGTATTTGAGACAAGGATCGGCTGTTCATGTTTTAAATAGTACGTACAAAAACTCATTAATAATTCATGAGGAAAACACAAAGAAAAATCATAAGCGTGTCGTATCTTTATATGTGATAGAGATCCCCCCTTGATTTACATAAACTTTAACTTTGATTTTCTCGACTTACACAACGTTTTTTTGAAAATTACTTTGCCAACGAACTTACTATAGATCGATCGTTTTTGAAGCAATTTAAAACATTCGCAGTGCGTGTTTTATCAGACCTAAAGATACTCGGCTACGTCTCGTATCTTTATATCTGATAAAACACTGCTGCTCATGTTTTAAATAATAGCTACCGTGCATATTTTTCATGATCTGACTCCAAAGCATTGACAAAGCACAACATGTTTGCGCATGATCACAGGAGAATTCATCCACATTTTGTAATTTGTGGTCGAGTTGGAGAAAGAACTCGAATAAAGAAAGTTTCACTGTAAAAGATGAAACCGTATAATAGTTTTTAGATCACTATAGGCAAGGAATTGAAAAAACTTGTACCGCTATAGGATTTAGTAGCATTTTGAATACATTATATTTCTTAGGTCCACTTGGCGTGTAAATTGCAGGAAATTTTGTGATTGATTTTTCGACAGACATAAATTTCCGACCGATGTAAAAAAGTAATTGACACTCATCCCACGGCAATGACGTTGAATTTGCTTTAAATCGCGTAGGATATTAATTAATGTACAAAAGCCCTATTAAAATCTAAAAGAAGAAAGCAACTAAATCATTAAGATATGTTTGTGCTATGTCTTTTATGTACATGATAAAAGTTTACTTAATTTGTTCCCATTGTATATAACCCTTAAGTAAATTTCTCAATTAAACTGACCAAGAAACCGCAATCTAATGCCTAAACATTTGTCGCCAGACAAACAGGATTCCATCTGCATGTGACAGCTTCAAACTCTAGAGTAGTGGTCCAGTAGACATTTTTTAATTCGTCGAATAAACTGACTTTATTTACACTGGATAGCTCTATCAGTTCTAATCTGTTCTTCCTAGAGATCTAGTAAGGATCATCTCTTATTGATCCAGTGTTATACTACAGGAGGAAACCTAAACTAAACTAACTTTGTTTATACTGGATAGCTCTATTAGTTCATTTATACTGGATAGCTCTATTAGTTCTAAACTGTTCTTCCTAGAGATCCAGTAAGGATCATCTCTCATTGATCCAGTGTTACTACAGCAGGAAACCTAAACTAAACTAAACTAACTTTATTTATATTGGATAGCTCTATCAGTTCTAAACTGTTCTTCCTAGAGGTCCAGTAAGGATCATCTCTTATTGATCCAAATTAACTACAGGAGGAAACCTAAACTAAACTAACTTTATTTGTACTGGATAGCTCTATCAATTCTAAATTGTTCTTCCTAGAGGTTCAGTAAGGATCATCTCTTATTGATCCATGCAGTGTTACTACAGGAGGAAACCTAAACTAAACTAACTTTATTTAAACTGGATAGCTCCATCTGTTCTAAAATGGTCTCACTAGAGGTCCAGTAAGGAGCATCTCTTATTGATCCAGTGTTACTACAGGAGGAAACCTAAACTAAATTAAGTTGATATGACCGACAGTTCGTTAAAAAATGCACCTACTTAAAGGCCTATTCCCATATATGTACATTTATAATTGATATTAAACCTTTCAATAGATAAGATAAAAATGATAGACAAGTCCATCGAATCCTTGAGATGAAGTAGATAAAAAATGCGCTTTTATCTATTGAACTATGTGCATATAGTTTACATGTTACATATCAAGTTCATGAGGTGGAGAAAAAAGTAAACGAAAAAAGTGAATAAAAAAGAACTTATTGAATGTCTTGCGTCCCAGTCATATGAAGCTGAGAGTTGCAAATCAAGCTCGCGTTTGACCGGCTAACTTTCATTGACTTTCATCAACTTTGATCAACCAATGAAAGTCTAGCTCGCTTCTCAACTCTCATGTAACTCTTGTTCTCGTTTGATCAAGCAATGAAAGTTGAGAAAACTCTCATGTAAACTCTCGCTTGTCAACTCTCATGCAACTCTTGTTCTCGTTTGATCAAGCAATGATAGTTGAGGAAACTCTCATGCAAACTCTCGCTTCTCAGCTCTCGTCAATTCTCGTTTTACCAAGGTTTTAATTTACGGACGTTTAACCGCGTAACATCGATATTTCAGTTGTGTTTTGTTGATGAATTACTATATATGTATGAACATTTATAAAAATAGATCAAGTATGGTGCAGAATTTATTGATGATATTCAATTATATTATTCGTGAGAACGGCGCCATACGTTCATCCGTCAATGGGATATAATCAACCCAAACAGAACAGTATACATAATTAGTATCAAAATTAACATCAAGCGTTCAAATCTCAAATCTCCTTTATGACAGCACAAATTTAAAATGGCGTCCTTAATATTATCAAAGTTTGCTATATGAAAGCCGACTGTGTTGTCTTGCCGAATTGGATGAGACAAAAATATTAAAATATATATATAAATTTATAAGTATTTAAGAGTCATACAATTAGCGTCCTGGCAAGTATATTGCGAGCGATTCAATTCAGCTGCCATATGTCTATAAATGGAACAACTGAAAAAGATTACAAAATACTTTCGACTTGTCGAGAGAAAGCTACTAACTTCACATTGCGAAGTATTTTCGCTTTTATTGTCACTGTACTTTTTAATATAACTGCAGAATGTACACTGAATTAGTCTTTTTAATGTTAGCGTATAGAATATCACATACTACAATTGACCTATTGATAATACTTAGCACTTTTTTCTCAAACTTAGCCAACATGCTAAATTCGGTTTAAACCCCCTGCTGGTATTTTTAAATTTGTGGTATATTTTCTGGTGGGCTTTTATGCTGAACTTGGCATTAAAACATCGTAACTGAATCTCCGTATAGTTTGATAACTTTGCGTTGCCACTTAAGTTTGATTACTTATTCAAATTTCAAAACGTTAGTATATAATGGAAAAGTGATAAATGGGCAGCTGCTTATGGGCGACATAATCTTTTTTTCCTAAGTTCTGCTTATCGAAAATTCTGCTTCGAGATTACAAGCGACGAAACGTCGCAGGAATTATAATATTTTCTGTAAAAAATTTACCCCAAAACGTACAGGATTGTAAATTCAGAGTAAAAATAAATCAAATATAATATTTATACCACTTTGGCGCTAATGGACTCGCTGCAATTTTAAAAACAAAAGTCGAATATTAAAATTTTGGTTTATTAACGAGTCGCCATTTTTAGCGGCAATCGGAAAAAATACGAACACCCTTCAAGCGCGTCTGTGATTGGTTCTTTTCGTCCAATCGTGTTAGTTTCTCTCGAGTCCTCGATTCTCATTGGTCGGTTGGGTCGAGGTTTTATTTGCGTTGAAAACGGCCAGGTCGTTTCCGTAAACGCTCTGGTTTTTACATGGATGATATGAGATATAAAAAGATTAATTCTGAAACAGAGAGGTGATAAAGAGGTTGAGAATAAATACAAGCACTTGCAAAACATAAGAATATTATAAAATAGCAGAAAACGGTGCTAGGAAAATGTTCATATAACCGGTTCAAAAGAGTTCCCAAAATGAAAAAATATGATTCGGAGTTTGAATGTCATAATCCAATTTTCTGATGTCATTTGATGTCTTGAAACATGGATAAGGGGCCGGTCGAAAATATAGCTTATCACAAGGACACCGCCGGGAACGGCGCGTCACGAAATCCGGACGCAAACACACCAAATTCCAGCGACATCACAGCAGGCGCTCTGGCAACCTCACTTCAGAACGAGAAATCACAGAACGGGAACAAAATGTTGTCGGACGGGCGACAACAGGAATTTCTTTTGAAAGAAGAGCACGATAGCTTAACGCGTTATCATGATGATAAAATAAAAGAGCACCTTTTAAACGCCGTACGACGCGGGTCGTACGAAGTGGTCGTGACGCTTTTTGAGAGTCTCGATCTCGGAACGGAACTTTTAAGCGGCGAGCACGGAGGTTATAACTGGACCCAAGGGAATTTTCCACCTCTTATAGTAGCCGCACAGCTTGGCCAGTACGATATCATAAAATTCTTCCTCTCCAAAGGCTACAGAATAGAGCCGCCTCATGAAATACAATGCGCGTGCGAAAACTGCCACATTGATTACTTGCGTACGTCGCAAGAACGGTTAAGTCTCTATAAAGCTCTCGGTAATCCAATATGGATAACGCTCACTACCGACGATCCGATCCTAACCGCTTTTACGATGAGTACAAAAATGAAGAATCTCGCAAATCAAGAGGACGAATTCGAAAACGAGTACTTAGATCTGTATAAATCTTGTAAACAGCTTGCTGTGGGATTGCTTAGCGAGTGTTATGACTCGAAAGAACAGGAAACGATATTGAATTATTCTCATGAGCAGGCTAACAGTGGAGATAAGCGATTAGATTTACTTAAGGCGGCGATTTCGATGGAGCAAAAAGAGGTACGGGCTATGTTATTAATACAATGTTTTTAAGGCATTAATTCTTCTCAGCGTGAAGACATCGAGTAGTATACCGCATAATTTAGACCTTTCCAAAGCTGTCGGGGTTTTTGTTTAAACTTCCTGAAAAAGATACTTCAAACGCAGTTATCCAGTGTAGGTAGTATTCTACAAGAAGCTGTTGTGGTTTGTGACTGAACTATAGGTGAAAAGGATATCTCAAACGTGGTGGTCCAGTGTATATAGGTAGTATTCTACAATAAGCTGTCGTGCTTTGTGTCTGAACTGCCTGAAAAAGATATCTCAAACTTGGAGGTTCAGTGTGGGTAGTATTCTACAATAAGCTGTCGTGGATTGTGTCTATTGTAGAATACTACCTGCACTGGATCGCCACGTTTGAGATGTATTTTCCAAGTAATTCAGACAAAAATAACGGCAGTATATTGTAGAATATTATCGACACTGAATTTCCCCACGCGAAACGATAATGTATTAATGGACTTTGTTACAAAACAAACTGCAAAATACAAAGTTCCATTGAGGATTACAACAACAAGTTTAGACAAGAAAGATATGGGTTTGCCACGATGCAGACTGATTCAAATTAATACTACAAACAACAGTAACAAGCACAAATTAAAGTTTGCCAAAAAATGTTTAGAAAACCTATTTCGACCTATAATTTATTTAAGGGCATTTGTAAGATCCTATACATAGCGGTTCGATCATGCGGACAGAAATTCTGCTTTTCTAATTACATTTCGTAGCACAATGGTTTTAAATCAGACAGTTTCAAACATTCTTCATTAGAGCACGACATAAATTTAAAGTACACAGAGGAGAAAGATTTTTCCACAAAAATAGTAAAACTGCCTTTTGTTGTAATAATATATCTGTCACGCATATTCAATTTTCTATTATTATATTATAACACCACTATATTTCAAATGCTTAGTTGTTTCCAGTGAAACAATCTGTTGATCTAAACTTTATAAATAAGTCTTTTAAAGGGCGATAAACAAAAATTTGAGGGAGGAATATATTATACATTTATCAAATATATAAAAGCAATGTTTTTGCCTTGCGAAAGATAATATTCAAAATGTGTGAATGACTGAATGTGTACAAAACACACAGATTTATATCGGTAAATATACATCAGGTCGATTTTAAATTATCTTTTTACCTCTTCCGATCGTAGGCGTTTAAAAATAAAGGGCAAATATACAGTACAATCATACTTGACTACTTCTATAAATAAAAAATTAAAGACGAATTGCAAAATAGGATTTTGCATACCTAACATACATGAAATAAAAACAATTTAAATGCATGTAGAATTATACAGTCGAAAACATTGCAAGGGACAAACACCGCTGAAGACATTTTAATATTAACCGTGTTTGCATTCGAATATGCTTTTAATGTTTTTAATTACAAGTAATATATCACGGCCATATATGATATGTATTGAACAGCGACAATTTTCGGTAAAATGTAGCTACATTGTACCACAAAACATAAACAATTTTTGAAAATAAGGCCAAAAGCTACAAACTAAATCACTTAAAACAGACATTGTTTGACTACGAAAACGTGTGGGCCACATTAATTTGCTTCCCAATTTTGAAATCAGCTGCAAAATAAAAGGATAGACCACTCATTAAATTTCCTCGAATGTTTGCGGTCATGCATATTGGCGAATTTGTTTTCTATATTAGGAGAGGGAAAAAGCTTAAAAGAAAAGTATTATTAATACAAAAATAACTATAGGTATTTAAGGGGAACCACATCAGTTTAATACACACAAAAGGATATTTAGAAATGATAAAAGTTATAGATTTTGTGCGATAGCATGTGGTAATTATGCATTGCAAAAAATTACATCGGTAGTTTCTCTAGAACGTATTAACAATTTAACGCTAAACACCTCAGGGTGTGTGAAATGGATTAAATCATTAAACTAGCTTGATCGAAAATATCAAGTATACGTGCAGAACTTTAATTTAAAATCAATTTAAAAAAAAAATAAATCTGATGTTTCGCTAGACAAAAACATGGAGTTCAATAACTTTTTTTCTCCCTCAATTTTTTATTTATTATCGTTCTTTTAAAATATTTATTTGGTCAAGAGTATAACGGTGAGGGGGTCGAAATACAACCTCGTTCCCAGAATCCTTGCCAGCTGAACGTGTCGTGTCGAAGTCCAACTAAGGCACCCCTAGCTTTCAACATAAGACCTATGTGCCATGGCTCATCACAGACCACAGCTAATTATAAGATGCAGTGGCCCAGCCAGGATTTTACTTTTTGGGGGGGAGCGACTTTACGAACTCACAATTCTATAACATATCCCCCCCCCCCTCCCGGGTCTTAATGATAGCTCTATCAGTATTTAATTAAATTAAAGAAATCGACACGCGCTAACAGTAGAAGTTCCGCCAGTCGCTATTCGAAAAGCAGAAAATGTATGGTCAAGCAGATTTTTTAGGGTGGTGCTGGAGAGGACTAGGGGGGGGGGGGGGAGGGCGCTAGACAATAGAGACCTTACGATGTTCGGACGGCAACGCGACGGCGACGGCCAAAACAAACTCCTTCAAATAAATGGTAGCAAAGATAAATCGTCGTATATTATCAGTCGTGTGAATTTAATACAGTCTTAGAAGTTGAAGACATGGGTTTTATGGTTGGGAAGAGTTCTGCTAAACCCAGTTTGAAGTTGCACTTGTTGCGGCTTGAAATGCAGCCGTTGTATCAAGACGTGAAAATCTGTGATTTAGCGTTGTAAACAGAGCGAGGACAATGTCTAAATTATTCATATATTGTAATTATTCAATTCTTTTCAATGGTCTATTGTACTGGTAGCCGTTGCCGTCGCGTTGCCATCCTAAATCGTAAGGTCTCTAATACTAGGTGGACACTCCCTGCACCCCACGGTAGATCCGCCCTGTGTTAAACTCCGTTCACTTTTCTTTTAGTTTGTGGCGCATACATTCAGCCAGCATCTTCTAATGTCCCTCATATACAAATGCGCTAAAGGATGGCGGACCAACAACGTATCGTACAAAATCCTCTTCGTAACAAGTCGAGTCGTCATGTTCCCGTTCATGGCAGTGGCCTACATAATTTTTCCATGCTGGAGTTTCTCGTGCACCATGAAGGAACCTCTGATAAAGTTTATCAATCACACAACAGCTTTTGTCGCATTTCTAATGCTATTGGCAATCTCCTCAACCCAACCCCTTAAAATTCGCGGCGGCAGTACGCCAAGCGGGCTTGAATTCTTAATAATATTTTACGTGCTGGGGCTCATGTGGTCGGAATGTAAACAGCTATGGAGCGAAGGCCTGCTTAGGTATCTGTCCAGCGGCTGGAACTGGATGGACTTATCTATGCTTCTAATGTTATGCAGTGCTTTCCTTATATGGGCAACGACGGCAATCATCGCGTCGTTTTCGGCGACGAACTACAACTCAAGCCTACAAATGACTGTCAGCGTCGCGGATGGATTGTACGCGACCGGAATTGTCATGAGTTTTTTTCGCTTGATCTATTTGTGTCAGATCAGTCGCTATCTCGGCTTGCTTCAGCTTTGCCTCAGTCGAATGGTACGAGTGATAATGCAGTTTGCTTTCATCAGTTGCGTGGTGCTGTGGTCATTCTCCATAGGAATGCACATGCTGTATAATTCCTCCAAACATTTTCCTGGCAAGAATAGAACCGCGCCCGTAGAGCACGAACCGACGCGACGTGAAGACGACGGCTTTTTGGAGCTGTCTTGGCATGGTGATTATAAAGGGTGAGCATGATTTTAAAAAATCGAGTCATTTTATATATTGAAAGCTTTTTTCAAATATCGATGGGTTGTTGATCGAATGATTGATTGAATAGAATATTAATCGATCGATTGATTAATTGTTGATTCTATAATTCATTATCTGAATAATTGATTGCCTGAATGATTGATTATGAATTATTGATTATCTGAATGACTGATTGTTTATCCCAATGACTAACTGATTATTTGAATGACTAATTGATTATCTGAATAACTGATTATCTCAATGACCGATTGATTATCTGAATGACTGATTGATTATCTGAGTGGCTGATTATCTGAATGGCCTGTTGATTATCTGAATGACTCATTGATTATCTGAATGAATCATTGATTATCTGAATGACTCATTGATTATCCGAGTAACCAATTATCTGAATGACCAATTATCTGAATGACTGATTGATTATCTGAATCACCAATTGATTATCTGAATGATCGATTATCTGAATAACCGGTTGATTATCTGAATGACTTATAGATTATCTGACTGATTATCTGAATGACTGATTGGTTATTTAAATGACTAATTAATTATCATGAATTAACTAATTGATTCGCTGATCAATTAACTGATTGTATGATTATTAATTTGATCAACTAATTGATTGATTTTCTGATTGATTTATTGATGATCCATCAAATTATTAATTGACTAGGTAGGTTTTGATTGTTGATATGTTGTTAATTGTGCTTTATTTCAGGCTGATGAACAGTGTTGTGACGATGTCGTGGGCGAGTTTTAACATGATTGAACTGACAAGTCTGACAGTATTCGACAACACCAACATGATACAGTTTTGGAGTGCAGCATTGTTTACAGTTTACCATGCCTCAACTATGATTGTTTTACTCAATATGCTTATTGCTATGATGGCAAACTCATACCAACAAATAGAAGTAAGTTATTGTTGCAGGAATCAAACAGGGGTGGATCTAGCCTCATCTGAAAGGACCCAGCGGGCAAAATGACGTTTATTCAACGTTGAATCAACGTTGGAAATGACCTTCCAGACGTTGGATAGACGTTGAAAAAGGATTGATAATGCAAATTGGATCGACGTTACTGTTTCGACGTTGAAACAACGTTGAAATTAGGTTGCCAATCTCGTCAACCATAATTCAACGTTGAATCAACGTTGAAACAACGTTGAGATTACTTCACAAATCGACGTCGTACATTTAACCATGAATGAACGTTGATTCGACGTCTGTTGGCTGCTGTTGAACCAATGTTTTTAAAACAACGTCAGAGCAACGTAGATATTAGGTTGTCGACGTCGCAACCTTTTTTCTACCAAATTTCAACGTTGAAACAACGTCGTGTGCAGAATCGTAGATGGCCGAATCTACATGTTCGCCGTTACGCTTTACATTATCTTTTGTTTATAACGTTTACATCGGCTGTTATCACGTACGCGTTACTGGACAGTTGCTGTACTGTAGCTTAAAACAGTACCATAATTTCGAAAATATTGCTGTATAACAACCTGGACATGTTTACATATGCCAAGAACTCTATCCAAATCTAACCCTAGCGGAATGTTTTTAGGACAACATCGAAATAGAATACAAGTTTGCCCGCGCTCAAATGTGGGTGGAATTTTTTGATGATGTGGCAACACTACCAGCGCCGTTTAACATCATTCCAACGCCGAAAACAATATCGAGAATATTTTCATTGTTCTTCGAGAAAGTGTGTGGAAAATCGTGGAGCATATCATACCATGGAAAGGTGGGTCGAAAGTGGAAAATTCTTTTTTACCTTTTGTGAACCTGGGTTTAGGCCGCAGGGCTCGAATTTTATCTCGGCAATTGCCGTAGAGGGAGAACAAAATGCCGTGGATCATTGCGGCAACGACGGCAATTTTTTGCCGTATAGTGCAATTTTTATACTATTCACTGTGCATTACTATTTTGATACTTGAACTGAGATGTTGATCAAATCATGCGTAAATCACTATTTTAGTCTCAGTTTTCTTCGAAAAAAAAAACACAAAAAAAAACACTAAAGAAATATATAGACATTTTCTAGCTTGTCAAAAATCCAAGGTAACAATAAAATTAAAGTTTTATTACAGTAATTTGAAAAATGCCGTGGAAACTGCCAAAATTGCCGTAGACAACTGTTACGTTCTACGGCAATTTTTAACGCCATTGCCGTCGATTGATTTCAGGGAATTCGAGGCTTGCGGTTTAGGGCTCAAAATTTAATGCAAAAGATCACTAGTTCATGTATACAGCCATTTCAAAAAAGGCTGTCCTTTGCAAATCTTTAACTCTAAGTCTTAAACTTTAAACTCTAAGCGCGCAAAGCTTAATGGGAGCACATGTTTCAAGCTTAATAGTTGAATGTTGCAGCTATTTGTGAATGAATTGTTCTCGTAGGAGATATTTACCATGTCTCTAAGAAATGGGCCCCATATATGATTTCTAAACTGATTAAATGATGCTCCCATTATGCCTTGCACGCTTAGAGTTTAGGGTTTAATGTTTAGAGTTTAAGGTGTTTGCAAACGACAACCTGTTTTGAATTAGCTGCATACATGAACTTGTGGTTAGAGCTCGATAACTGTCCTCTGTAGCTCAGTTGGTTAGAGCTTGACAACTGTCCTCTGTAGCTCAGTTGGATAGAGCACGACAACTGTCTCTCTGTAGCTCAGTTGGTTAGAGCTCGACAACTGTCCTCTGTAGCTCAGTTGGTTAGAGCTTGACAACTGTCCTCTGTAGCTCAGTTGGATAGAGCTCGACAACTGTCTCTGTAGCTCAGTTGGCTAGAGCTCCACAACTGTCTCTCTGTAGCTCAGTTGGTTAGAGCTCGACAACTGTCTCTCTGTAGCTCAGTTGGTTAGAGCTCGACAACTGTCCTCTGTAGCTCAGTTGGTTAGAGCTTGACAACTGTCCTCTGTAGCTCAGTTGGATAGAGCTCGACAACTGTCTCTCTGTAGCTCAGTTGGTTAGAGCTCGACAACTGTCTCTCTGTAGCTCAGTTGGTTAGAGCTCGACAACTGTCTCTCTGTAGCTCAGTTGGTTAGAGCTCGACAACTGTCTCTCTGTAGCTCAGTTGGTTAGAGCTCGACAACTGTCTCTCTGCAGCTCAGTTGGTTAGAGCTTGACAACTGTCTCTCTGTAGCTCAGTTGGTTAGAGCTCGACAACTGTCTCTCTGTGGCTCAGTTGGTTAGAGCTCGACAACTGGCCTCTGTAGCTCAGTTGGTTAGAGCTCGACAACTGTCTCTCTGTAGCTCAGTTGGTTAGAGCTCGACAACTGTCTCTCTGTAGCTCAGTTGGTTAGAGCTCGACAACTGTCCCTCTGTAGCTCAGTTGGTTAGAGCTTGACAACTGGCCTCTGTAGCTCAGTTGGTTAGAGCTCGACAACTGTCTCTCTGTAGCTCAGTTGGTTAGAGC